AATAGAGTGGGTCAAAAGGATAAGCATAGGGCCAGAAAAAAGGGAGCTGTAAGAAGCTATGTGCAGCTGGGGGAGAGAGCTGAATCTGAGGCTGGCACCATAAAAAAAAAAAAAAAGGGTCAGGACTCCAGGAAGAGAGATGCTGTTTGGGACAATCAGTAGGAAGCTATGTTGCTGACCCCATCCCACTGCACCAACTACAAAATCCAAGCAGGTAATACTGTATCTATCTCCTTTTTCCCTTAGAGTACCTTCTTCCTGAGAGGCAGAATGCTTTAATCCTTTTCCTCTGCAGGAGAAAAGGTAGAACTCTCCTTGATTTTCAGTGCTTTCTTAGACTTTTTTTATAAACAGTGGTAAAACTGGCATCCCCCTGTTCGGGGGTGTACTTACTGTGAAGAATGTTGAGAAGACCCACTGAGGGGAAAACCTCCCTAGACAGGAAAAAAAAGAGAGATCTAACACTGAATTGGTTTGTCAGAAACCCTATCTCTGGCTGGGGCTTGGAGCTAACAAAAAGATAAAGAATATTGCAGATCCTTTGAAACTACTTTTACTCTACTTAGCACAGTACCTGGCATATAATAAGTGTTTAATAAAAATGTGTGTTGCCTTGCCTATTTCCCAGAGTTTAGGAGGAGTTTATACCAGGAACCCATCGGGGCAAAGAGTCAGTGATAAAGTGGGGGGAAGATAGGAGCAGTTGAATAACTCTGACCACTGTATCATCCCTTTAACATGATTACATATAACCAGCTTTACTGTTTACAAAGCATGTTGACAGAGCATCTTACATGTATGATTTCATTTGACCCTAACAAACTACTCTGTGGGGCAGATAGTATAGATATCTCCATTGTACAGATGAGAACAATGAGGCTTAGGTCAACTGACTAAATATTTACTATGCAAGGGCAACTAATAAGTGTGGGAGATGGGTATCCAGCCCAGAATTCTCCTGACTCCATCTTCAGAGCTCTTTCCACTAAAACAGAAAAACTGAGGTGCAGATCATGTACTCATGGTAATCCTATCAAAGCATAGACATGCAATAAAGCCAGGTAGCCTATCTTTAACATTATTTTTTAAGTGCAACGTGATTGTACTTATGGAGTGATAATATGATTTTTAAAATGACTAATAATACACTAAGGAATAATACTAACAAGAAACATATAAATATATACATGTGTATGTATACATATGTGTGCATCTTCCATGTGTATATGTGTGCTGTTAACCAAAGACCCCCCAGGCCCATAAAAGCACCTGAAATGAAACAAGAGTCTGATGTACCAATTAAAAGCATTTATTTTCTGAGAAAAAGCTTGTAGGGAAGAGAAGATCTTACAAGGGAGCAGAGGAGGAGAGAGTTCTCAGCTGCTCAAAGAGGGGTGGAAAAAGAGTGAGATATTATAGTTTCTAGAGATTTTCAAGCAGGGCATGGGAGGTTAAGGGAAAGGACATCTGTAGGCACAATTAGTCAGGTAGCAGGATGTTTAGAAATTCCTCAGCAAGATCTTGAGTCCACAGCTTCTTCTCAAGGTTGCCCTTGAGCTGATCAAGGCTGGTTCTGTGATTTCGGGGAGCTACAGACATCTCCAAATTTGGCTAGAGTTCACTGGCAAAAGATCACTGGCATGTCAAGTAGTTTTGGGTTTCAGAAGCTTTCTGATTGGTTGGTTATTGTGTAATGCCATTGTCCTGTTCTGTGAAGAAGGGAAACTCTAAAATATAGCACAGTCATTACACAGCCCATGTTAACAGTGTATGCATATATACACTCATCGCTATAGATGACTGGTCTTTTAATTATTCTCTAAACAAGACCAAGTCACGATGGAATTCTTAGTATCCATTCCATTCTCTCCATTGCTGTTTGTGAACACCCTAGAATGGGTTCACCTGGACTGTGTCAATAACCTCCTTAGCAATCTTCCTGGCTCTGCTCTCAAATCCTTCATCCCACTGTCAAATTCATCTTCCTTGTGCACAGCTCTAATGTTTTCACTCTTCTACTTAAAACCCTCCAATGGCTAAATAAAATTCAGATTGCCTTGGCTAGCATTCAAGGCCCTCTACAATCTGTCACTCTCCTATCTTTCCAGAATTATCTTGCTAATACTCCCCTATAATTACTCTCTATTCCAGCCAAATGGGACTATTTGTAATCTCCCATACGCCTCCTCTGAAAGTCCCCTCCCCATCACCACCACCATACTTTTATATTTCTCTTTGCTCCTAGCATTCCTAATGAGTAGAATTCCCTGCTTTTCCACCATCTGACCTTTAAAGTCCAACTTAGATACCATCTCCTCCCTAAAACTGTCTCTGATTGCCCTATTTAGAAATAAAATTCCCCCCTTCAGATTCAGAACCCAGAATCTGGGTTGCTCCTTATCATGTATCATTTTGCACTATGGTTACATGTGTGTGCATTAGATCCCTTTATCAAGATTGTGAGTTCCATGAGGACAAAGCCTGTATCTCATCTAAATTTTGTATGTTGAATCCCAGAACCTAACACAATGCCTTGCACTTAATGAGCATGAAATAAATGTATTGAAGTCGAATTATTACTTGTACTACATTCATTTTACAAATATTTAAAGTTTTGAGTTCCACATTCTATCCCTCCCTCCCATCCCCCCTCCTTGAGATAGTAAACAATCAGATATAGGTTATATATGTGCAATCATGTAAAACATTTTCATATTAGTAATTTTGTACAAGAAGACTCAAATTTTTAAACAAAAATGAAAGAAAGTGAAAATAGCATGCTTCAGTCTATATTCAGACAATATCAGTTCTTTCTCTGGAGGCAGATGGTATGTTTCATTATTAGTTCTTTGGGGTTGTCTCGCATCATTGTATTGCTGAGAATAGCTAGTCATTCACAATTCTTCATTGTGCACTAACACATCATGTTACTGTATACAGTGTTCTCCTAATTATGCTTACATCACTTTACATCAGTTCATGTAAGTCCTTCCAGGTTTTTCTGAAATCATCCTGTTTGTCATTTCTTTTTTTTTTCTTTAATTAATTTATTTAATTTTAGTGTTCAGCATTCACTTCCATAAGATTTTTGAGTTTTACATTTTTTCTCTCTCCCACTCCTCTATCTTCCTCCCAGCATGCAACTTGATATCAGCTCTACTTAATACATTTATATGAAGCATATTTTCCCATTAGTCATGATGTAAGGAACAATTAGAAGTAATGGGAGGAACCACAAGAATGAAGCAATAAAACAAAACAACAAAGGAAAAGGAGAGCAAATAGTAAGCTTCCATCTGCATTCAGACTCCATAGTTCTTTCTCTGGATGTGGATAGCAATTTCTATCATGAATCTTTTGGAGTTGTCTTAGATTCTTGCATTTCTGTGAAAAGCCAAGTCTATCAAAGTCAGTCATCACACGATGTGGTTGTTGCTGTGTACAATGTTCTCCTAGTTCTGCTCATTTCACTCTGCATCAGTTTATGTAAGTCCTTCCAGGTCTTTTTGAAGTCTGCCTGCTCATCATTTCTTATAGCACAATAATATTCCATCACAACCATATACCATAGCTTGTTTAGTCACTCCCCATTTAATGAGTATAAAAAGCTTACATACTACTAGAAAAAGAATAAACAGACAGATGTGATCATAGAGCAAGCAGGCTGGAGGGAGAGTGGTGGGAAGTGGAGTGTATGCATCTGCACTGGGTCTTCTAGTGATATACCAGGGCCAGGCAGAGACTCAGTATTCTTTGAGTTGACTTCATAGGGCAGTAGTTCCCAGAGGGGCCAGGCAGCCAGTTTGGGAACAGAGCAGGACAGAGGTTGAAAATGGATTAACTGCTATGAGGTGTACAAATATTGTGCTAGAGGCACTGCTTAGGGATACAAAAAAAAATAAGGCTTAGTCTTTCCTTCAAAGGGAACAATTAGTAGGTGATTTCAATAGTCCAGGCAGAGGTGCTGAAGACCTGACCTGAGTGGTGGCTTAGTGAGTGGCCAGAAAAGGATATAGATAAGAGGCAGATATTATTGCATTGTGGAGATAGAATTTATTACTTGGCAAGTGATTGCTTATAGAGAGGGGCAGGGGCAGTGAAGGAGAAAGAAGAGTTGAAAGTGATCCCAGGTTGCAAAACCTGGGTAACTGTAAGGATAGTAGTACCGTCTGTAGAAACAGGACACTTTGACTCAAATTCTTAAGATCTGGCCCACTTGCATTAGCAATACAAATGCTTAGATTCCTTAAGAGTCTGGCCAATATGGAGGGTTCTTCAAATCTCACCTGCAGCCGATTGATGTTCTAATAAGCCTTGTCTTTGGCTGAAAAAGAGAGAGAGAGAGACAGAGGGACAGAGAGACAGAGAGAGAGAAATAGGACACTTTAAAAGGGGGAAGAAATATGGGAGGGAGGAGAGAGAAGATAATGTTCTATTTTAGAAATGTTGGGCTTAGGATATATACTTAATAAATAGAAATCAATGTTAGAGTATGAACCATGGTCCATATATTAACCTTTAATTTATTTATTATCTGTTTTACTTTTAACCACATGATTCTTTTAGGCAGAAAACCCAACATAACACAAAGAAGCAGCATGAGATAGTTACCAGAATATGTGACCTGGAGTTATGAAGACTTGGGTTTGAATTTTATGTCACATACTTATTATTAGATGTCTAACTCTAGGCAAGTCTCTCTGGGCTTCAGTATCCTCATCTGTAAGTTAAAAGAATTAGACTTGATGACATGTAAGATCTCTTTAATCTATGATGATGATATGATGATTTTAAGCATTCAGATAATTTTCAGTTGTCCAAAGCCTAAAACATGTGAAAAGTGCACCAAATAAAGTCATAAAACATTAGCCCAAAGCTGTTATGTGAGAGTGAGCACAGGATAATCTTAATGTGAAAGATGGGAGGTTGTGACAGTGACAGTGATCTAGTTACAATGGGATGAGTAGGTGACTTAATTCTGTTTGCCTTTGTGACCTTACTTTTGAACTTCTTAGACTTCACCATGCTCCCAGCAAAGTCGTGGGAAATCTCATCCTCTTGCAAGTTCCAAACATCCATGGTATTCATACTTCACCAGTACCCTCTGCCCCTCTGATTAGACCATGGAGTCATGAATTCATTCTCCAAGGGGGAGATGAGAGACATCTCAGACATCTAATTTTCTACCTGGCTACACTCATTTTGGACTTCTTTGACTTCTCAATGATTCAACTATTCCCTTTCCCCAACCTGGGTACCTTCCCCCTCCTCCTTTCAGCTTTCTTCTGTGTGTCTTCCCCCATTAGACTGTAAACTCCTTGAGGGCAGATACTGTCTTTTTTGTACTTGTATGCTTAGTACTTACCCTGACATTCTGGAGTCACTCAATAATTTATCAGGGCAGCTAGGTGGTGCAGTGGATAGACTACTGGGCCTGCAGTCAGGAAGACCTGAGTTCAAATCCAGGCTTAGGCACTTATAAGCTCTGTGACCCTGAGCAAGTCACTTAACCCTGTTAGCCTCAGTTTCCTCACCTGTAAAATGAGCTGGAGAAGGAAATGACAAACCATTCCAGTATCTTTATCAAGAAAACCTCAAATGGGGTCACAAAGGGATAGGCAGGACTGAAACAACTGATCAACAAAATAAATGATTATTGATTGTTGACTATTGACTCATTTGCTTTACCATTTATACTTTACCATTTACAAAATGCTTTCTTCACAATTACCCTGTAAAGTAGATAATACAAATGGTATTATATCAAACTTGCTGAGAAATGGTATTATAAATTACCCTGTAAAGTGGGTAATACAAATGGTATTATATCAAACTTAGTAAGAAAAATCAAAGCTAAGTCAAAAAAACTAGTAAATGTTGGAATCAGGATTTGAACACATGCTTTGTGACTCTGTGTCTATTCCCTCCATACCATTCTAGGTGACTCCTAAACTGCATTCAGTTCTCATTGATAGGGCAGAAATTACAGTCCCTCAGGTATATACTTTGCCATTTTCTTAGCTTTGAGGAGAGAGGAAGGGAGAGACATTCAAATCACTTACCTTCCAACCCAAATAGCTGACTCAGAGTATAGAATGGGAAGAGAGTGAGCAACATTCCCGGATGTGGTTTGTATGGAATTCTGGGAGTTGTCAGAACAACTGATCATGGCATTCAAGGAAGCCGGTTTTGGCAAAGAAAAGGGATTGGATTTATTTTATTTGGCCCCGGAGGGCAGAACCAGAACTAGAGCAATGGATTGAAGCTGCCAACTTTCTAACAATGAGGACTATCCCTAAGTGGAATGGGTTGCCTTGGGAAGTATTGCATTTCCCCTTACTAGATAGGAGGTCACCAAGTAGAGGCTATAAGACCATTTGTCAGGTAGAGGTATACATAGAAATGACTCTTCCTCTAGGTATGGGCTGGACGATAGCCTCTGAGACCTCCTCCAACTCTAAAAACATAGGATCATAAATCTATAGCTGGGAAGGACCACAGAGGCCATCCAATAAAGCTCCTCACTTTGCAGATGAGGAAACTGAGTTCCAAAGAGGTTGGGATTTGTCCAAAATCACATAGACAATAAGCATAGGAAGTAGCATTTGAACCTTGCCACACTACAGAATGCATAGATTCCCTGCGTCTTTGGGGGTAGTAAACTGAACTCAAGTCTCTAATTACGTATACTCATATACACGTACACTAAAATCTAAAGCCTTAGGAGGGGGCTTCTCATAAGCCATTTCATGTATGTAACTGGCCTCTACCCTGTCTCTTGAGCTGCATTCAAATGTTTTTATAAGTATTTACTTGTAATTGTTCAACTTTGTTCAGTTACTTCAGTCATGTACAACTTTTCGTGGCCCCTTTGCGGTTTTCTTGGCAAACATACTGGAGTGGTTTGCCATTTTCTTCTCTAGCTCACTTTATAGATGAGGAAACTGAGGAAAATAGAGTTAAGGCAAATAGACTTGCCAGGGTCACACAGCATAGTAGTGTCTGAGGCCAGATTTGAACTCAGGTCTTCCTGTCTCCAGGCCTTGTGCTCTATCCACTACACACCTAGCACTATTGTTCACCTGACATTTATATAATTGTTTGATGATTCACAAAGTGCTTTTGTGTACTTTGCATCATATCATGTGATTCTTACAACAATCTTGTGAAGTAAGTACTATCTGTCTTTTACGGATGAGAAAACTAGACTCAGAGAGCCTAAATGATTTGCTCATGATCCCACAGCTAGTGTGACATGAGGCTGGAAATGTTTCCCTCATTCTTTCTGAGACAGTTTCGTTAGCTACAAAAATAGGGATAATAACACTGGAACTTATTGTTTCTGGTGCTGTGGGGAAAGAGCCCTTAGTAGTTCTCAGTTCCTTTAAAGGCTCAGCTCAAATTCTACTGTTGCTCTTTATTCAACCAGTTATTAGTATATTAGTGCTCCTCCTGAACCCAATTTACTTGATATGTTTATGTATTTACTTATCTATGTAGATTGTGTACCCATTCTCATTAATAATGATGATGATATGGTGACAATGATGATATCTTTTCCCAGAACCTTCAGATTGCATAGTACAGTGTCTGGTAAACTTTTAAACAGTATAGAAGTAAAAGCTGTTGTTGTTGTTGTTGTTGTTGTTTGACATCAGGAAGATGATGCTGTGACTTGCAAGTGAATGGGATTTAAATGAGGGAGGACTATGCGAGGTAATCAGCCTCACTTTCTCCTCTAGAGCAATCTGGGGCCAATGGCAAAATATAGATCAGGACAACTGGAGATGGCCTGATAAATAACTCCCAGGCAGTTAGTAGCATATTGGATGGAGTGCTGGTGCTAGTATCAGGGAAACCTGAGTTCAAATCCAGCTTTAGACCCTTTCTAGCTGTGTGATCCTGGGCAAAAAATAAATTGTTTTTTAGAGAATTAAACCATAATAGAAGAGGAACAAGCATTTATGAAGCACCTAGTATTTGCCAGGTATCTGCTAAGTGATTTACAAATATTATCTCATTTGCTGAAGAGCACACAATGAATGAATGAATGAATGAAGTACCATTAAGGCTTACTAGGATCCAGACTCTCCTTTCTAAGAGTTGATGATAGTAATTCCTATCAGTGTAAGTGGGGACAAAAGTGTTCAGTACTTTTTCTAGGTTTAAATCAATCAATCAATTAACCAATAAATATCTGCTAATTTTTAAGTGCTCCATACTCCGTTAGAGCTGTGGATGATAGACAAATCAGATAAAGCTTGTTAAAGACCTCAGGGCTATGACCTTTTGTTTTGTTTTTTGAGGAAGCCAGGCACAATAATTAGAGAATAATGTAATTTAGTGTGGAGAAGATAATGGAAGGGACACAATATCAGTGTTTAAATAGATGAAGGACTATCACAGGGAAGTGGTATTAGATTTATTCTTTTCAGCCCCCAGGAACAATTTAAGGAGCAGTAGATGGAAGTTGCCAAGAGTTGAATTGGGCCTTGATACAAAGACAATCTTCCCAACTTTTAGAAGTTCTAAAGTTCTGAAGTTGAACAAACTTTCTTCAGAGGAAGTGGGTTCCCCTGAGTGGAGGTTTTCAAGAGAGGCTGGTTGAAATTTTCCCAAGTATGTTGTAGAGGGAATATTTTGTTCTGAAAAGGAATGAATTGGAATGTCTTTGTTTCATGGGTTTGAAACATGGGCCGTAACTGCTTTTGAAAAATAAAAAATGAGTTAGACACAGAGGGCGATGGAGGGATGCTTAGAAGCAGACTGCAACATATAATCAATAATAATGCAAACGTATAATAGAAGGAGCTCTAAAGATGAACAGGAATTAGGTAGTGAGTGATGACATGGACAAGACAGTGCTTCACTTGTCATATTGAGGAGAACAAGGAGGGCCTTCAAGTCATTGGGTGGACCCTCCAATGCAAATTTATGTGACGACAGAGACAAAAGTCACACAAGAAGGGTACATATAGATGGGGTAAGATTTTGGAGCTCCCAAATTGGTAAGATCACAGATCCAAGTGTATTAGAACATGGGTTAGGACAAATGGGGTCTTATTTCCCTTCAACTCTTGAGATTCTATGATTAAGAAATGCAGGGTAGTATATACAGGAGTTAGGCATTAAATTGTGAAGTGCAGACTTGGTTCAGAAAAGAGGAAGTTCAGTAATAACTGGAGTGCTTATGGAAATTAGAGAGAGGAGCGTAGTCAAAGAGCATAGTCTGGTCATGGAAAATAGAAGAGCATATTCCAGGTACAGGGAATACAATAAAAGACAAAGAACAGGGACTGCCAATAAGGCGACTGAGACAGGGAGCAGGCCAGCTTAATTAATGAAAGCTGCCTATGGTAATAAATCTTGATGGTGAGTTAATAGTAGCAGAATCATCATGATAAATGAAGAATACAACTATGGATGGATGGATGGAGGAGATATCCTAACCAGCCAGGTGTGGTTCATAGGATGGAGCTTTTGCTAATGCAGTTGAAAGGAATCCAACCTGAAAGTATGAGTTTCAAATAGGGTGGACCTGTTTTAGCTCTGAGTTAATCCCATGAAAGGACCTTCTGAAAGATTAAATCCGCCTAGTGGTGGGAGATAGAAGGCAAAATTCCCTGGGGCATTGACTTCAGGGCAGTTGTAATCTCTTTATTTTTAGAAGTACAAATGACTTGTACTCCCTTGAGGTGAGAGAGAAAACCATCCTCTCTTCCCTGTCCTCCCAGGTACATTCCAAAGATGCAGTGCCTTCCTGGCTAACTCCAGCAAAGTTTGTGACAGCAAAGGCCATAACTTTTTGAGTGTAAAAGCAATGCTCATGGGCGGCTAAATGAAAGTCAGAAAGTAGGCCCTGGAAAATCACCACAAGGAAACACTTCATCTGGACCTTGCATCAGCTACAGCCACATTGTCTTTGTGTGGTACATGGGCCAGATTACTTGGGGCATGGTGCCAGATCTGATTGCTTTAAGCACGGCAGAGGCAGGTAAATAAAACTGCTGAGGTGAATAGAGAGCTATAGAGATTTGGAGTGAGTGCAAAGAGAGGAGAGACAGCTAAAGAGGAGATGA